GTGAAAAGGTCTATCACGTGTACTTTATTTGCCACCTTCACCATGAAACCTTCCAATCGCATCATTTGAAAATATTTACACTTTGCAGGAAAGCTGAAAGAGATAAACCGATCAATTTCCAAAGAAATTCCGAATTTCCGAAAATCGAGGATATATCACAAGTAAACTATGCGTACGAGGGTGACAGTGAAGACCAGCCACACCAGAATGGTCGCCAAACAACCGGATCACCAATCAGAATCAGTACTTTGCACTCACAACGGGAGATCACGGTAAACAATAATGATAACACCCATAACTATGCAAACCCTGTCGCCCCTGCCTACACCATTAACCATTCGGGAACTGTTCCAAATGAATGTTCACCAGCTACGCATAACCATATCATTAACGCCGAGGCGAGAACTGGATCGTGGGTGGACTTACCTGATATTCCGGAACCAGACTACGATATGGCATCGAGGGAATCATATGTAGAAGTTGTGACAAAACTTTGAATAATGTTCATCACAGTTGTCTGGGAGGTATCTTTTCACCTGGTTCCTTCCCCGGGCTGTGTCTCAACGCTGAGTTATTGTACAGAGCATAAGTATAAAGAACATCAAATGTTTCAATTTATTCCAAGCACAAACTCAAGACGGAAGACTAGAGTTCAGATTTATGGAAGCAACAAACTTAAATTGTTTTCCAGCATTTTGAGTAACCATTGCCAAGTTAATGTGAAACTTGTAGACTACCTTGTTTTCAACAAGTACAAGAACAAAATAACAAAATATTTTGTAAAGCAACTGCATATATAGGCCCTAGTTGAATTTAATAATGAAATTTTGTAACTATACTGACATTTGTGCATAATGTAAACTGTGTTATGAATCTAAGGATTACGTTTCGCTTTTGATAATAACAAGTTTTTAACCCTAACAGTCCCAAATCCTCGGATTTCAATATGATTTTACATACACCCTAGGGGGTTAGGGTTAATGGACGATTTTCATTCGTTATCAAAGATACTGTGAACTTTTGAACTGTTGGCAAAGATTGCATCGTACATAGTTTGTTACTTGTTTTGTGCTATACACTTTACTGTAATTTGACATTTGTGAAGGCGACGAGCAACTGATGTACTCTGAGCCATTCCGCTCCACGGCCTTAAAACTGAACAGTTACGAGAAAAACAACATACGCTTTATGCGAAATCAGCTTACAAACAACAAATGGTTATAACATTAATAAAATGGGCAAGGTGTAAGTTGCACATTTTTTTATTTTTTTAATGAATCCTCGAAGAGCCGGAACTGTTAATAGAGTTTCCTTTCAAGGTACATGTGGATAGCACGCTTCTTTTCAATTTTTTTCAATAAACAATATTTAACACAAAACATGTTTTGCCTCATGACGACATAAGTATAAGTTGGATAATAACTTGGAATAGGTCACCAAGCATTGATACTGGACGATCTTGAGCTTATCATGTCACTTTTGATGGGAGTTTTAGTAGATTTGAACGTTTTTACTTTGCTCTATTGTAGTTATTTTCAAGACTTCCTAATATTAAAATGTTCAATACACAAAGGTAATTTTTAAATAATTTTATGTGGAAATTATGACTTGATCCGTCAAATGGATGGAAGCGATATAACAGAAAGTCTTCAGAAATATTAAATGGTTAAATTGTATAGCTCAACTTACGAATTCAAATAGGATACTTCAAATCGGAAATAATGATAAAATATTCACGAAAACAGTAGCCACTTTTACACGTTGACAATTTGTAAAAAAACACCTGTAGGTAGCAACATTTGTAAAACTACCTGTAGCAACGTTCCCCTTTGCATGATCTACAGAAGCAAAGTCAGATGAAGGAGATGATCTATCACATTGCATTTATAGATGATTTGATGATTATTGAATTTATTTATGCTGACAATTATTTACCCTCCTTTTATATTTTGTTGTTTCGGTTCTTATGGATTAAATTATATTTTCCACAAAATGAAAAACCAATAGATCAACAGGAGGAAAACTTTGAACGATACATTGTTGCTTCTTGATATCTTGGCAACAATTAACTTTACAAACTATTAAATGTGAATATGAAAATTAAATTGTAAAGAATAAAGCTGTGCATGCATTTCATATGGTTCTGAATAAATCAGAAAAACAAGTCATTCGTCCAACATGCTTCTTTAATCATAAGCACCAGTTGAAGAGCCCCTCCCCTTTGTCTACAAGGTGCATTGAATGCTCAAAATTTACTGTGAAACTGAAAGGAGTATGAAAATGTGTTTTCACTTAAAATCCCATCAGACAAATTTCATTGACAGTTTGGAAGCTTCAATATATAACCCAAATTGCGAGCAGTTAAATGTAACCTACATTCGTCTGCACACAATACCTACCGGCATACTAAAGTCAAGCATAACTAATGAGCTTGTGAAAAACAGAAAATGATAATTATGTCTAGGATCTTGACGTCTCCTTGCTTTGCACAACAGCATTTCTTGCCGACGCAAACATATTTTTGTGTCGTATTTTATGAGTGCGTCCCTCTGTCATAAGCGAGCCAGGCTTATGCAGTGTACATTGAACACTTAAATTGTACGGCGTACGACTTTATGTAGTGGTTTACATCGAGGCAATTAACACACGAGTTTATTGTGGCTACGACAGAACAAGGATGCAGAACAGGCGTGCGAGCGTAGCGCAGGTCAGACACATCGTTCAAGCAATGGCGGTCACAAAGGATCCATTCACTCATTATGTTTCCTGCTGGCTTTGTGGCTTATTAATACTGAATCTACACTGTCTTCCCGTTATTTCACAAGGTGAGTAATTTACCTCTCTTTTGAGAACAAAAACTCGCCGATTGCAGTGTTGATTCCAAAGACTGATTTGATTACATTTGATGCATTTACGACGCCTTATAAAACTCCCGTAATTACGATTGAATTCGAAATACAAGCACGAATATACTTTTTACACAAAATTGTAGGCAGGCTGAAATTTTCGACGTCTAGACTGCTAAAAATGTAACCGATTTAAAGGTAAAACAATCGAGAAAGATCCGCATCCGAGCAAACAGACTCAATAACATGATTTACTGCCAAAAAACAGGTTAGGCTATTCGTAGGTGAGGATACACAGCATACAGATGTCCCTTTAAACATCATTAAGTATTGTTTAATAAATAATTTTCCATTGTAAAGTATCATGCGTGTTACGTATGTACTTATCCTGTTTGAATTTTGCCTGCTTTAATTAATCAAAACTCTTGTGTACTCGACCCGTACTGACAAGACGATCAAGGCTGAGGTGTGAGGCCTTGCAAAGAGTAAACCGGTACTCCTTTCATTCATGTGGCCATTAGTACACTTATTATTCAAATGTCTCGTTTCGGGAAGCATTCAAGGTGAGCAAAGAGCTTCTCATTTACTAGTTTATTTGACGGCTGCACGCATGCATCCACGCGATACCAGTCCCGATTGAAACATGATTGATCCTTCGTCGAAGACCCATCAACCCATTATATAATATTGAACATCTTGGCTAAAACCTTCAATGTGGACATTGATTTCATTAGGAACATTTTGAGTAAGTTTTACGACATTAACCTTCTTGATTAAAGTGGAGTATTTTGGGAAAACGGCCAATGAATTAATTACGCAAAATATCAGATTCTCTTCCTTTAGAGAAATTACCCACTCCTAAAATGAGCATTGAGAAAAATACTTAAGCAAAATACAGAGTGAAACCGTTTCTTGGTTCATTGATTCCCCGTTGCTAATTCCTCTCAAACAAAATTTAAAAAGTCTAGCAATCTTGTTTTAAACTTCATTCTTATTGAGAACTGACGAAGCAGATGTGGTATAACATCAACACGACACACGACTTGCTCTGGAATTTCCTTTAATGCCTAGCTATTGCGTGCCAAAACCTTGTGTAAATTACATATTTTCTGAGGTGACGCCCTTTCTCCGGGCGCATCTCAGTATTTTCTTTCCATGACAAACACCCACATAACAATTCATCTAATATTATCATCTCTTCTCGTGCATTGGTGTTTCCTGCAGAGGCCTGGTGGACAAAAAATCTGTCATTAGTCCAAAATATAGGAAATTGATCTTTCTTATATGATGTTTATGGATTTCCTATCTGTATTATGTATCGTATAGAGTTACTAGTATTTAGCGTGCCCTCACCAATTATTGTCATTTGAGATAGATGACTTGACTTGCCAACAGTTTCGAATAGCTTTCCATCGACTGTCAGTATTATACCCATGAAGTAACCGCACGAACGTTAACATTTTGTCATATAAGCAGGAAGGCCTAGACTGAAAAGTTGCAACAGTATGGAGATACTGTTGCAATAAATCAAAACCATAAAGGGCATTAATGAGAGACGACTCTCTCATTTCGCTGTTAACAAAAAAAACAATCATACGTTTCTCACCTTTTTGCTGAGTGTTTATTATAAGGAAATGAATGTATGTACAGCTGCTATACTTCAGGGCAACAAGGAAGTTGATGGTCAATTAGGTTTTGTTTTCCTCTAAAAATAAGTTTTATGGTTATACGCATCTGCATGTTACGGTATATACCTAACTAATTCTGGCCCATTTTTTTATTTGTTCGTTGGATTAAATGAACTAAAAACCCCTTTTTAAAATGTATTAATTACATTTTGTACTTTCTCTGTAAACTTTGTTCATAAACTAATTATTTCCAGAAAACGCGACGGAGACAGCTACAGAAACCACATTCGCCATATTATCCTCAACAGAAACGAATTACACGGGTGACGCAACTATGACATCACTTACTATTAATTCTACCACTGAGCCAAGAGGTCAGTGAGTTTATCTTATTACGAGTCATAAGGACAGAAACAGATGAGAGAAATGGATAGTAATCTTTATTCTTCTAAAGACTGCTTAAGGAACAGTCACTGGATACTGTAATCTGAGTTGTGTTAATTGTTGTTGGTTTATATTACTTTAAGTTAAATCTCACTTTAATTAAAGACTGTAAATTTATATTATTTTTTTGAATGTTATTATTCATTCAGAAGTTCAAACTGAAATGGTTACAGATCTGGTGACAGCGTTGGCGAACGCCACAACGGCCCAAGAAGGTAAGTGTGTGTTTTTAATGTCCACGTCAGTGGAGATTTCTTAAATTGAATTCTGTGTTTATTCCAATAAGGCCTACATTTGAAACCCTTTAACATATGGAATAGTTTGCTTATCGTCTTTTTTCTCGATATATTGTCATTCTTCAGAATTTCAAACAAACTTGCTGACAGTGGAGGGAACGGAGCTGCAGAACACGACAGTATTCCAAGAGGGTAATTTCTCTTTAATCTTTATAATCAATTGCTAGAGTGCTGGAAGTGCTCCAATTACATTTTGTACTTTCTCTGTAAACTTTGTTCATAAACTAATTATTTCCAGAAAACGCGACGGAGACAGCTACAGAAACCACATTCGCCATATTATCCTCAACAGAAACGAATTACACGGGTGACGCAACTATGACATCATTGACTATTAATTCTACCACTGAGCCAAGAGGTCAGTGAGTTTATCTTATTACGAGTCAGAAGGACAGAAACAGATGAGAGAAATGGATAGTAACCTGTATTCTTCTAAAGACTGCTTAAGGAACAGTCACTGGATACTGTAATCTGAGTTGTGTTATTTATTGTCGGTTTCATTCCTTTATGGATGGTCTTTATATTGCTTTAAGTTAAATCTCACTTTAAGCAATGACTGTAAATTCATATTAATATTTGAATGGCATTCTTCGCGCAGAAAGTCAAACTGAAATTATTACAGATCTGGTGACAGCGTTGGCAAACGCCACAACGGCCTATGAAAGTAAAATGTGTGTGTATATTTTTAATGTCTACCGTATGTCAGTGGGGGTTTCATTCATTAAATTCTGTACTTCATTATAATTAGGCCTACATTTGAAACCCTTTAACATATGGAGTAGTTTGCTTATCTTCTGTTTTTTGTTTTTTGTTTTTGATATATTGTCATTCTTCAGAATTTCAAACAAACTTGCTGACAGTGGAGGGAATGGAGCTACAGAACACGACAGTATTCCAAGAGGGTAGTTTCCCCTTAATCTTTGTAACGGATTGCTGGAAGTGCTCCAAATTTAAGATTGTATTAATTTGTTAACAATCATTTGAGGTGCCTTACTGTATTATTGATATTTTTTTAATTAAGTACTTTTATTGTTTATTTCACAGTAAACCAGACCACTCAACCGTCACGAAATGTTACAGACACAATGACGATGACGATGGAAGTTACAGGTGACGGTGAGATTAACTAACACACTGATAAAATTTCTTATAAATGTAATTCAAAACTGCAAATTTTGATAATAAATTAGCTGTTTCAGGAAAGAGTAGCAAAGGCAGATAAAAAAATAGTTACACATGCTTTATATAAGTAATGATTTATTTAAACAACCGAGCAAAAAGGTTTGTGTGCAGACCGACCTCTTTCAGATGTACCAGCCAGACATTTTACTTGTAATTATTACAGTTAACCAGATAAAAATGGCAACAAAAACAACTACAGTCACAGAGGAATCAACGAGTGAGTTATACTTGCATTTATCAACAGCACTAAATACTTTTCTTTTCAGTTTCGGACAAAAATTGTAAAGAAATTAGCGCAAATCATTTATTTCAATCAAACAAAAAGGGAACTCTTCAAATTGACGATATGGGCTCTTTTTAGTTTATATGTAATTAAATACTAAAACGTCAGAGAGTGACAATTGCCTCGTTTTATGGATTTCAGATAACGATAACACTTCCCTTTCCGCAAATGTAACGGAGGACTTCCCGCCTCTTGGCACAGTGGTCGTACCAGCAACAATCGTTCTATCAACCCCCGATCTGTTCAATCCATCCAGGGCACCGACTCCTCTAATCAGTCGTAAGTGTTCAAGTCAGCAAAAGTGTAAACGGAAAGCCGTTTATCCATTTATACTGAAAGGTAACAGTCTTGAAGATTGTCGATAACGGCGTGAAAAGAGATTGTATATCTTTTCTCATTTATCCATTACTTCACAGCTATCATTCCAGTCTTGATATTCGCCGGTCTTCTTTTCCTAATGACTATTATGATATTCATCGTTTTATATACAAAATCAAGGTAAGCATCTCCCTTGTCATTTTTATTTATTCGGTTATTCGTTTATTTGTATATTTTTTCATTTATCCAGGGTAACCCTGTCAACAGCTGGATACTGAATTTTATTAGGATCCCGCATTAAAAAAAAATAAACTAATGAACAGAAAAAGAAGAGTTGAAAATTTACATATTCCCATAATATAAAGTTAAACACATTAAGCAAGAATGCATAAAACATCAACAAGTATATTGTCTGGAAACATCGCACCAAGTCATAATCCCATGAGTACTTTTTGACGTATAATTCATCTGAAGTGTAATCAACTTCAAGTGTTCACCTGTCATTCAACTGTTGTTATCATTTATTAATTCTTTAGTTGGTTTTGTTTGTCTTGTTTTGTCTAATATTGTTGGCCATTTTCACAACAAGCTTTGACTTTTAGGATGATACAATCAAAGTGTGGAAATAAAATGTTACTGGAATATGACTGAACTGAAGGAAGGGCGCCCTCTGAGGGCCAGGCATCATAAGTTATGACGTAGGTTATGCAGAGGATCAGAAATACATGCATTGGGATAATAGTTGTGTACAAAGACAAGTATACACAGGAACGGAACTGGAAAAACAAACTTCTTTCAATATCCACACTGGCTGAAGTTTTCTAATACGGTGTAATGTAACTGGACCTATCACTTAGAATTCGTAAGACCCTGCCGAGATTTCGATTTTCAAAGCAACCTCTGAATTCTTAGTTGCCTTATGAGGCAATTCTTTTTTCTTTTCTTTTTTTTTTGACCTCTTTGATTTCAACAGAAAAAAGCGGAGCATATCGACCTATAACCTTACTCCAGCCGCAAATGGGAATTCCTCCCAAATCGGCTACCGTAACACGGCCTACGAACAAGGCGATGTCGCCAACGACATAGACGTCGAATGCAGCATGCAGGAAATACGGCTGGAAGGAAAGCCTAGGAACGAAAATATTTTACAGAACTATGAAGGCTTTGAAGAAGAACTGACGCCACTTTAACGAGGTGTGGCTTCCGAGTGACCTGTTTTGGGTGATGCTGGAAGCTTTGATGGTAATTATAGAGTCAATTGTATGCTTCACAACTTTGCAACCTTCTTTTTTTAAAACGTTGGACGAGACGCTACGAGAGCTGCAAGTGTAGCTTATACATGTACAAAAACTCTGGGATTTTGTACCCGTGCTTTGTCAGGGACAAGTATAAGTCACATTTATTTGATGGTACCTAAGAAATGTGGTCAAGTATTCTGAACATCTCACCGTGAGAAAGTTTTTATGCGCAAAGTCCATCTGCAAAAGTGCACGTAGGGATTCATCCCTGTATCTGTGTGCACAAGTCTATAGTGTCCATCACTAGCAAATCAAAGATGCAGACACTTTTTTGTTCCATTTAAAAGGAATGGATTCGAATTCGAAGGTCTGGAAGAATTCCTTTACATTCTTTTGAAGGCCCTCGCGTAATTGCAATTTTCCATGGGTAATGATAAATATTAACTCACTTGTATCATTTGGCTACGTACATTTTACTAGTTATGAAATGTCTTTTAAAGTAGCCAGAGTACAAATGAACTACACAAAAAAGGCAATTTATAGAGGTCCGTTTTATTTGCATGCACGCTGATCCTTACAGCGCCTCGCATAGTTTGGCTTACTCATTGTATTGTATTTAATAGCCGTCGACAGGGCGTCAAGGTTTGCTTACGTAGTAAGCTGGTGGAGGTATGAAACAATCCTACATATGCAGCAAGGTACGAGACGGAGAGAACCCCCTCCCTGCTTTGTGTTGGTCATTGTCTCGCAGGAATCTGGGGAATTCCTTTCAGACATCTTGGGGGGGGATGTGTTAAGTAACAATAGTCTGGAATATGTATAGGGATTGGACATGTTGGAAGTGACTAGATACTAACCCGTGAAACCTGGTCTGCTATTTTTCTCAAGACTCTTAGCGGGTTCATGCTTGGACTCTGTTTCTGCATCAATTGAAAAATGAATAGCACAAATGGGTCGGATTCGAACCAGGGTCTATGGATCTGTAGTTCAAAATCACTACCAACTAAGCTATCGAAGCGACGTAATGGATTCCCGTTTTTGAAATGTCTTAAATGGTGTATTGCATTGTCCCCTCTTCATGAATCATTTGTCACCCCAGCTACTGAAAAAAAGTAGCGCACCAGGTTTCACGGGCTAGTATTAAGTTGCTGCCGGACATGTTGGGGGGTACCCCTCAGTCTCATTTCTTGCTCCCTATAGAATCCTGAGATTGAACAGAATTAAACCACTATTCTAAACATCACGCTATTTACAAAAAGTGTAGAGTAATTTTTAAGAATGTACAATAAATTGCATATTCTTTTTTAAGAATCCATACTATTAACTGCATACATTCTTTGTTAAAGCACGCATCGCTGTACATTCTTAAAAAAACTGACGGATCACATTGGCTTGACCGACACAAAACCTGTAATTTTTAAGTACACCGTTTAAGACGTTTGACCCATCTACTTCCAAGTTGATCTCAGTTTTAACTCTTCTGTCATTTCAAGTTAAAACTTTCCAAATAACTATGACAATAAAAATGTAAGTAGGCCCTGTAAGCTTAAGGAATGGATTATAATTATCTAGAAACTTACCTTTCAGTACTTCTCAGATGATATTCCAACTGCATGGTTTTGCCAGACAAATAAACGGCCACCGAGTTGCTTCGATGTGTTGGGCAAGTATATTCCAAGGTTATACACGTGGTCTTCATTTGAAGAGACTGTGAACCGTGCGCCAATCTAGCTTGCTGCATGGTGGTGTTAAAAATCCCCAATTCCGTACAGTCATAACGATATAATTTGATAGCTAGTATCCAGCACATTTTCCGCAGCTGTAATACCAACTTACTTAAATCCATTTAGGAGTTGGATGCATGGCAAGTGTCTTCGCACCATGGTCCACTGATGGTGACTGCATATGTCTCTGTGTGTGACTTAATGTACAAGACTGTACTGTGCATCATGGTGAAAGAAAAAACATGCAGAATAAGCCAACACTGAACAATGGACCGAATTCCTCTAACATCTCAAAGCATTAGTAAAAGCTCACTGTTCCCTTGTTAAATGGAAAGCAGCGGGACTAGGTTTACATTGGGAAAACGACCATTTGGTTCATTCTTTCTTTGATTCAATTCTTTGATTCTAATAGGCAGAGCGTCCTCGCCAATTCGAATCGAAGATTCTCGATTTCTTCGGACTTGTAAAATGGTCCTGACAGTTTTGATTTCTATATATGACAACGCAACCTCTGCATTTTACTCTTTCGTACAAATTGAATCTTGCGTGCACCATGTTTCTTTTTTCAGCGGTGTCGGTAGAAACTAATTCCCTAAGAATGTATCAATTTCGTCGAAACCTGTATCTTCAATAAGTTACATTATCATTACGATCAATACTTAATTACTTCGGATATTTAATAAATAATGAGGCTGTTTCATTTTTATAATGCTGTAATCTTTTTGCGAAGAGTTGAAATGTTTGACTTCGTCAATGTCATTGAGTCTTGTCTGAGTCATGAAGGTGACACACGCCCTTGACAAATAAAGCTACCAGTGACTGATTCTTACTTACTGACACAGGAATATTTGCGCTGTTTAAGAGCAAAAGCGCTTAAGTTGTTTTAATACCAAATGCTGCAAATAGTATCCGTTACACGCGTCCCCTCCACCTTCTCCACATTTTTTGCAGGCAGTCCGGGGCGAAATCCTATGACATTTTATTCCTACACCTCGAAACCATTAATGTAATTTTGACACCGTTGACTTCCATAAAGAACACCAGTCCAGTGTCGTAATATGTGCAAACATGGCGTATTAATTCAACACATTAGTGTTTGCTAAGTACGCATGCCAGGAACTATTGGGCCAAGTGTTCACACTGTTAAATAAAAGAACACCTGACTGGCATAACACGACCCTGATCCTGGCCTCAACCTTGAGTAGGCGTGAAATAACATTCCCGTTTATGTTTACTTTGCAAGTTTTGCCTTAAGTTTCAGGTTTAAATGCAGTCATCGGGCAAAAACTCAAATCTTATGTAACATGTTTTTCTCCAAAACGAGGACATTTCTTGAATATAGCCAGGCATCAATATTTCGGGTGTGTCTGAGGAAACCATGTATGATTCACAGTTAATTCACTGACGGGTGTTTCCCAGCGAAGAAGCCAAGTATCAAGTTTATCTGATGGCCCCACCCAAACACTCACGTACAACACAACGGGAGGTGGCAATGTCCTATACCCGCAACGACACAAACAGTTGAGAACACTCACGGGATATGTACCGCCTCAGTTTTTTTGCGGAGGAGGGAACTGGAATTATCTCCTACAAGATTTTTGTGCCGAACAGAAAATGACGTCCATCTCTCCTTCCTTTGCGTGTTTTTGCCCATGGCATTATCCTGAGCATTTACAATTTTGAACAGTCAATTTCGCTGATTTTATCACCCCCCCCCCGCTGTAGGCTCAAATCTACACCTATGGAAAAATTTGCATATTTTGACTCATATGCAACCGCTTATGGGGGGATCCCAAAGTACATTACTCGGTGTTGCAGAAAGTCTATTACATTACAAGACATTTCCTGATTCTATGATTCGATTGATGTATAAATGGGCACTCATCTACTTCCGTGAAGTCTGATTGAAAATTTAAATTCTAAACCAAATCAAACTCTATCGACTGCAATCCATTATAAACTCTGACCAAGTCGCTTTGCCATACAATGAGTTACAATGTACAACTTTTATTTTAGGGAGGGAACCAAACTTATCCTAGGTCAAACATACACTCAACATACACTCAACGTGTTCTCTCCATAACCAAGTGCGACAGTAAATTTCACCCCTAAAAGTTCTTTGTCGGTGTCAGTTCATATGGAAATCCTTTCATGTCGCACACAAAGGCAAAACCCAGTAAAAACATTCTTTTATGAGAACTAAATTCCACAGACTTACCAGACTGTATATGCATGTCCTCTGACCCTAAACTGTGAACGAACAGAAAGTCCCAGTTATCACAACAGTTTGAAGGGTATCTTAATATATCCCACAAATGTAAAATCACTTTAAGATAATGTCTGACAGCCTGTCACGTGACTCTACTTCATGCAGGCAGAGCCAATAGCAAGTACAGAATATGATTACTGTGTGACGTTAAAGTGTACTTACACTTCCATGAGATAAACTTAATTGAATAAACGAACAATTGACTACGTCGAGTAGGAGGAGCCGAAGCGTTCGACTGGCCTTTTGTCTGGCACCAAACCTGCTCAGTCCTGAAAATTTATTCTAAACCAACATCGTACTTTCATACGCATTTCAACAAAAGCCGAGTACTGACCTACCACCTTGGACCGTCTGCCATGCGAAACTGCCGACAGTAACCCAGAATAGTCGGAAATTGTGACGAGTTTAGAAAGCAACAACTTAATTCAAAAGGTGCTATACACCGGTAAAAAAACCCGCTTGCATTGGAGTAACAAGCTTAATCCTAACTCCGCTTTGACTATAAGTTTAGCATTCAGCATTTTTGTTGTGTTCTGGTATTTCCGCTGTTTCTAAAAAAATAATTGAGCCCTCCGATTTTATGACTCTGCTAACTATGGATGGACTGGGATCTGGAGTGGATATTTTCTTGGCGTTTGACTATTTGATCCCCTCAACGACGATGAACCGATATTTTAAGACATTTTCTACACTGCTTGTTCTTTTTTCCCTTGTCGAGTCAGGTAAGTGCTACAGTTTCGGCCATTTTTAATATTTATCCCCTGTAATGGATGTTGGTGCTTCAATAAGATTGGATCAAAGCATGCAGTGTCTGCAGTGCCTGACTATAGGTTTGTGATCCTATTACGACCAACATTCAGCTGTACAACGCAAATGCTAGAATAATTCATGTCAATCTTCGCCTTCATTGGGAAATGGATTCCCCCTATATATATCATCCTTAGTTGAGTTTTCAAAGTTAATTTTCTGACATCACTTCATAATATCTTCACTCATTCCATCATACCTCGCGTCATTTGTGCATGACTGACAAGCTAACAACCTCCATTGTGTTGAGACTATAGATTTCGTAAAAATTTTATCATAGACAGCTGGAGGTAATATTCCGGGTAGGTTGGTGACCATTTGCAATGAAGCCTTAAAAATAAATTGTCCTCTAGAAACCAGACTAAGGAGTTTGATAGTTGTCCTTTGTTTTCTCTTCCTCCTCTGTGCAGTGAATACTTCTTGTCCAGCACCGCCCCGGCCTCCAGGCACCGAATATTCGGGCGGAAACTACGTACAATTCAATGAGGGTCAAACTATCACCTACAACTGTACATTTGGATACCAAGTGATAGGCCCCACCACCAGAAGATGCACAGAGAACGGCACATGGACGGGCACTGACAATGTGTGTCGCATTGGTAAGAGATTGAATCTACAGCATTCAGGATGACTGATTAGCACTCTCTGAGCAGAGCTATCCTCTTAAAAATTGTCAAACACTTAAGAAAGATATAGTTCCATTTCATCCATATGACACCTCGATTACCACATACACATGCTCATTTTCGGCCTGTATTGCATTCCGTGTACCAAATAAACATTTTCATCAGTTATGTTTCCGTATTCACACACGTGTGTGCAGTCTTTTCCACATTGCTGACAACGATCATACATCAAATAATGAAATATTTAAAAGGCAAAACATAAAACTTGAGTTCAGTCTGAAAGCATTATTTTCAGAGTGAATTTAGTTGTCATGCTTGACATTTCACTTTTCCTTTTTGCCAGCAATTGAAACAATATTTGCAGTTCCCAGGCAAGATCTGAGGACTGCTTCGCTTTTCAAAATACGCGTACAATACAATTGAATGATCAAAAGTACTGTTGTCATTTCATTCCTAATGAGCCCTGGGAAAAGCAAATTTTCTAAGTCGTATGGGGAAATTCTCTCACTGGCGGAACGTGATACAATGCAGTAGGTTCAGTGCGATGTAAGATAAGGCGGCAAGGAGTCTCTGTTGAACGAAGGATTTCAGAAGCCACTGTTTATTAACATCACTCAAAATTCAGAATGTTCTCAAGGAGCAACATAGGACAGGTCTGAACTGGGCATCTACTCCTATAACTCACTGATGATTCAGTACACTCGCCCATCCGCATTCCACTCTTGGAATTATAAAAAGTACACGTTCCAGAACAAATATTCCTGCACAATGCACACGTAATGAATATCCTTCAGTTTTTGATTAGGTATTCCAATATGAGTATCCATGGTAAGGTCAATTTGTTTGTCAGTCTCCAAAGTGAGCTTGCAATAGAATTGTTGTATTATAACGTTCTTGTCGAAAATTTTGACACGTATACATCGCTAATCGCTCGACTTCCCAAGTGTGAAAACAATATCCTGCAATGCCGATCAGACAGGCTATTTTTCTGTTTTTATGAATGTTGCAGTTGAGAAGTAATCATAATCAGTTTTAAATAGTACGCTTGATTGATTTCCATTCTGTTGTACTTTACCTCCAAACGTTTGTCGTGCTTCCTGAAATTTCGTGTATTTTTAATCTTTTCAAAACACAGATGCGGTCTCCCTTGCCATAGCCTGCTTTGTTGGCTTGTCGGCCATTGTTATCTTCATATTTTTAACATGTTGTTTGTGTACCAGGTAAGCAAGCCACGCAGCTTTAATAGTACATTCTCCGTACTGTAATCCTGTACAATCAAGTGTCCTTCATGCAGCTGTTTGCATCTGTCTAGATGTAAACCGCTTCAACTTTCATTGCGAATTGCTCAATGAAAAACAAATGAGGGAAACGGTCAATCAACCCCGATCCAGTGCCTAACTGGGAACCAAAATGACGTAATAGTGATCCACGTGAGTGTAGAATGGGGCATCATTTGAACGACTTTTCTATTTAATAAAAATGCAGGTTTCTCAATAATTACATACATGTAGGCCCATTGATAAGTTCAAGAAAACAAGAAGGGAATGGTCACATACAGATGATATTACAGCTGTTTATTATTGCAGTCGGGAATATCTGGGTTAAAGAGTAAGTGTTCTAATGTGCAAGGTAAAATCACATAAAATCTCAAATGTCAGCAAATGTTGGCATGCTGCTCGTTACCAATTTAGATGTAAGGGCGGACGCATATGTTATGACGCATATGTAGGTTGAGTAATTTCAACATCCGACTGTTTTTTTTAAACAGCAGAGTTCATGAGGTGCTATCAATTGTTTTAGGATGCTTACAAGTAAACTAGCTCCTGAGGAGGGCATTGACCTTGGCGAAAAATACCGAAGCGCGTGGCATTACTTTTTTGGCGCAAAATGTTCTACTATAGCTCAAAATCTTCTCTTTTTTGCCTCAAAAGCGGACCTTTTAGTCGCGCGGGGGTCGCGGACGCACCCCCTGCACTCCCCCAAAGGACCTGAAATGTGGTGAAGCAATAGTTCTCTGGATCTCTCAATCTGCTATTTTATCCCATACCCACAGGAACCGGCGTGCCAGACGTAGGGCAGAGCATCATCTGACTATTCAACGGCAAGGCAAAGAGGCGGGAGATGATGGATTGAATGGCCTGGGCGACCAGGAACCTAACCCTTACAAGATGGTTCAGGTGTCAAAAGAACGGGTTGATCGCAGTGACTCTGGACTACAGACAGATCTCGATATGGAGGAGATCGACCTGAATAATTTCGATATGGGGGAGCAAGTGGATAGTCCCACAGATAACAACCCACCTCAGGGTAATGGCCTCATGTTCATTGAGGAATAAGTGTTATTGCAAAAGGTTAATCCTAAAATTTCTCTCTAGGAAAACAAGCACCAGAACATGAATACTTCGAACCTTGATTTATACGGGTGTCGAAATGCTTTCAGATGAGACTACCTGTGTCAAAGGTGTCTGTTATTGTAAAGATGTTTTGAACTGAGAGTATAAAATACCCCACATTGGAAAATATTTACATCAGTGACGTTGTTTATATTTTTAATACAAACACTGCAAACCTGTAAATACGCCTTAACAAGTACCTGAAACAAAAGAAAATAGTCAACTGTCAGTTGTACTGCTTCATACGTTTGTTTGCACAAATTGGTGTCAACTTCAAATGTAAATTTAAGCGCCTTTCAACGTAATCAATTCAATTTGGCTGAAGGGAAACTGCTATGAGAGGAAATCGACACAGTAACATGTAGTTTATCTGTAGCTTAAATTAGATATATGTCTTCTGTGAAAGTATCAAAAGGCGTTTTACTGATAAAAATCGTGCATAGTGCTATGTTTGAGAAAGATCGTCCCAAAAATATAAAACAAAATAAAACAAGCAGGTACATGAAGTATACAGAGACATATCCGGTTCCTAGGGCCTGTTTTATCATCTTCATGTCACTCTGCATTGTAACTTGTATTTCAGGGAATCGCTAA